AAACAACAACAATTTAAAGCAGTATTGTTTTTATGCTTAAACCCTTTTTCGTCTTTGACCCATATATATATTTTATATATATATATAAACCATTAAAATATTTAAAAAATAATACAATTACTTAAAAAAAAAAAAAAAAAACTACATATAATAAAAAAAAATAATGAAAATGACAAACGCAAAAAAAAGAATTAAGGTTAAAGTGGAAACTGAAAATATAAAAATAGTCTAATTCAAAACATTAACAAAAAATAATAAACTATTATAGTTTTTTGTTAATATTTTGAATTAAATTTGATTTGTATATTTTCAGTTTTTCAGTATTTTCAGTTAGTTTATACTAAAATAACATGTAATAAATTATAGTTATTATAGTTAACTAGAACCATAAAAAATATTATAATAACTTGAAATAAATGTTAACTAAAAAAAAAAAAACTAAACTTGACAAATAAAATAAATACAAATTATAAAGCACACAATAAAACTGTGTGCCTGACCTAATTATAATCATTATATTTATTATATTAAATAAATATACATATATAAAACCATAAAAAATATTTTTGCTACTTAAAATATTTTTTTAAATCTTATTTTATTTCAGCTACTTGCCAAGGCAACGTTTTTTCATTTTTGTTTAGTTTATTTTGAAGTGCTAAAATACTTAAAAAAAATAAAATAAATGAACTTAAATTAATTAATAAAAATGAATAACAATTATATAAACATTTATATAAACAAAAACTAAAAATGACAAAAAATGCATAAAATTTTAAATATAAGTGAAAACAGAAAATATATTAAAAGAAATCAAATTTAAATAGAAACAAAAACTAAAATAATTTAGCAATGATGAATAAAATAAATACATAATTAATAAAAAAAGACAAAAAAAGACAAACAAAATTTCTAAAACTTTAAAATTAAAGTGAAAACAGCAAAAATAAAGAAATAAATCAAATGCAAAATATTAACAAAACTATAATAGTACACACACACACACACAGATGACGTGCCTCACCCTTTGTAGTATTGATGTGTGGATAGTGTTTGTGTTTTGACAAGCTGGTGAAACAGTAAACCCATGTGTTCTCTAGCAATGGTGCTGCGCTCCAGCGTCGACTCGATTCCCGTCCGAACGAACACAGACAGCAGAGACGAGCAGCTCAGCTCACTGACGCACTGCAACGCTTCCTGCAGGAGCGGAGGAGCAGCAGCAGCAGCAGACGTTACAAACAGACCATATAATGAGGGGTGTGTGTGTGTGTGTGAGTGTGTGTGTGTGTGAGTGTGAGAGTGAGTGAGTGAGTGAGTGTGTGTGTGTGTGTGTGTGTGTGTGTGTGTGTGAGAGAGTGAGTGAGTGCATGTGAGTGTGTGTGTGTACCTTCATGTCATTGATGTGCAGATACTCCTCGATGATGGCAGTGGACTTCTTCTCCAGCTCGTCCTCCGTCAGCTCCGGTTTGGATGAAGCAGGTGGAGGAGTGGGAACAGTTTCTCTCTTCACTGCTTAAACAACACACATACAACAAAACCTGTAAAACCTCATAACAGTATGTTTTTTTTTTTTACGTTACATAAAAACAGGAATAAGTAATTCTGAAGTCAATTATATTGCAATGACAGACACTTGTAATACTAATACTGTAATAATAACTAATGTTGCAATATTAATGGTAATATTAATAAATAATAATGCTAATTTTGCAATAAAATAAAATGAAGGGCTAGAGTTTCCCAAACTGGGATTTGTGAGGGAGCTGCAGTAGTTGATGAAAAGTTGATAATTAATTATATAATAAAATTTTTTTTGTTTATTTAAATATAATAAAAGTAATAAACAATCTATTAATATAATAATATTTAATAAAAAAAAAATAAAAATATTTAGAACCTATCAGAACTAATATTGCAGTATTACTATTACTGCAATATTAATATTAATAGATAATAATATTAATATTGCAATAATAATAATAACAATTTTGGTCTGAGTATTGGCGCTGATGTCCTGATTTTCTGAAATCTATTTGGATTTTGATTTGAAATAAATATCTGAAAAAGGATTGATATTAGACTGCTCAAATAAATATCACGACTACTTAAAAAAAAAAACATTTTTAACCCAGTCCTTCTAAAAAGAGCTACTTTTAAATAATGCAAAAAATGACCTGAGCTAGAAACCAAAACACAAAATAAAATCCAAATATAATTTTCTTAACTATAATGACCCTGTACTGCACAATGCTTTTGGTCACTAAACCCGTGATTAGTGCTGGGCGGTATGACCAAAAATTTATATCACGGTATTTTTCAAAATTATACCGGTTTCACGGTACATGACGGTACTGTTTTGTACTCATTTATTGACGAGTCGGCTGCGGTGCTTCTCTGCCGCTCACTGCACAGAACAGACGCCGAGAGAGGCGACACTTCTCCGGGAAAGTCAGACCTCGCGTTTGCGGGACAGCACTGGCGAAATCTTCTAACTCAACCATAGCTAAGGTTTATCCAGAAAAGTCGCTAGGTTTGTCAGTATGAATATTCTATGGAAAAAAGCCGCTAAAAGGGTCTGAAAGTTGCTAAATCTAGTGCTAAAATCGCGCTCGTGTGTGTGAGACGCGGGAGCTGATGGCAGGGCCGGTGGATATTTGTGGCGGTCAATGTGGATATTGTGGATGAGTTCTTCTGTGTCATCACGTTCTATTAGTTCTACAGCTTCAGTTTCGGAACGTTCACGCTTAGTAACACATACAGCTGTTCCCTCACCACAGTGCAACAGTGAAAAGGGACCCCTTTCAAACAGTGACGCGTTCCGAACGTTGTTTAAGCGACATATGCCGGTATTGCGGTATTTTAAAAATTCATATCATAACAAATAATTCGGTATGAACCGGTATACCGCCCAGCACTACCCGTGACCTCTGACCCCGGTTCAGCGTACCGTTGCTGCGCTCTCGTTCTCTCTCGTCTGTCATGCTGGAAACGCGCCGCAGCATCTCAGCGGGACGCTGCTCTCGATCTCGACTCCTCTCCTTTTCCCGGCTGAAGCTGCGCTTGCCGACCGCGGGACGGTTCCGGTCCATCCGCTCGAAACGATCGCTGCGTTCCCGACTGGAGCTACTCCTGACAGACAAACACAGACACAAACCTTCAGTCGAAGCACAGAAGAATCCTACAACAGTGCTATTTTATTATTACTACAGTTTTTGTTTTTATTTTAAATTTTCGAATTTGACTTTAAAATTGTAATACTTTCATGTATTTTTATTTATTTATATATTTATAATTTTATCAGCATCAAAGCCTATATTCAAGGCAAACTCAAGAATAATACGTTTTAAAATAGTCTTAATAACAATACTTCATTTGTAAAGTAAAACAATTATTTAAATATTTAAAAATAAGAACACACACAAAAAAAAAAACAAGACACTAAAATATAAGGTAAAAATAAAATGTCTACTTGCATGTCATGTGACAGTGTTTATTAATATTTTAAATTTGTTTTTGTTTTTATATTTTCAATTTTAATGATTTTAATTTTGAAGTTTCAATAATTTGATGTATTTTTTTATTTATTTATTTTTCCTTTTAGGCCATATCAGCATCAAAAGATAAAAAAAACCAGATAAAAAATAAATTAAATGTTCAAATATTTAAAAAACACCTTTACAAACAATTCAAAATAAAATAATAAATAAATAAAAATAACATTGATATACAATTTTTCAAATGAATAACTGATCAAAAATTCTAATATTCTTCCAGTTTTTTTTAAATGTCAATTAATGTAATTTTAGTAAAAATGTTTCCTAGTATCATTAATAGCTGGGCATTCTAACAAAACATTTTTAATTCATTTTTAATTAGATTAATTCATTTTTAATAAGTTTTGCTTTTTTAAACGTCTACTGTTATTATTTTTATATGTCTAATTTTAATTTTAATTTTTCCGTTTTAGATTTACTACATCAAGCTCGACGAAGTGAAAATGAGAAACGTTTTATTTCAGTTAACATTTATTTTTTAAATAAAGAAAATGTTTTTTTTTTTTATGCATTTAGTTAACTATAATAACTCTGATTGATATATACATTTAAAATATTGTAAATATATTTTACATATTTGATGTTATTTCAGTTAATTTCATTTCAAGAAACAAATGTTTCATTATAAACCCGAGAGTTCCGGTGCTTGATTCTGATTGGCTGAGCCGCGTTCGAAGCTGTTGTAAATTACTCTACAAACACACACCTTTGTTTACGTTTGTCTGTTGCTCGACAACCACTTTGTAGCAACCACAACTGCTTCTGAGGCGCTACATTGTTTGGTGGAAGAATACTGTTTTTATTAATATCATTACACTTTATTTGCTCCGTTTTATTCTGTGAAACCTTACTACGTATATGGAATAACCGTTTTATAAAAGCAATAAGTCGTGCCCAAGAACGCCCCTTAGCTGTTATAAATCCACTGTAAACCACGGCTTCTTAGGGCTTATTGCTTTATTTAATGGTTTTCGATAAGCATAATAACCCTGTCCAGCCAGAATCCCTGTGTGTGACCTCTGACCTGTGAGGAGCCCTCCTGTCAGAGTCGATGTTGGTGGATGATGATGAAGAGGAGGAGGAAGGCTGCTGAAGTGCTGAAAATCGATTCAAAGTGCTGGTACGACCAGAATCCTGGGCTGTAAAACACATTAGAGTCACACCATGTCTGAATATGTGTGCATAATACATCAGACGTGTACAAACACTCACCGCTGTCGCTGGGTTTGGCTCCTGAGCCTCCGCTGCTGCCTTTGCCCCAACTGCCCCACGAGCCTTTACCTCCAGGGGCAAGAAGCTGATTATTGAAGTCCAAAGCGCCCGGCTGCACGACACACACACAAACAGCATTAGTGCTCAATGATAACAGTGAGTGTAAGTCAGAGAGTATCAAAAACTGGGGAAAAAATAAATAAAAACAAAACTATGTAGACATATTAAATAAATAACATGAACAAAAACTACTAAACATGACAAAAACACAACAAAATTACTAATATTTTACAATTAAGATGAAAAACTGAATCAAAATACTAATAAAAACTACAATAGCAACTCAATCACACTAACATAACACTGCAGGGGGTTTGAGAGTAAATGAAAAGCTAAAAATTTTAAATTAAAAAAAATAATATTTCAAATATTTAAATATTTTAAAATAAATGTTAAAAGTGTAATATTTAAAATAAAGAATGAAACACAAAAAATTATAAAAATGTAAGTTAAAATTAATATATATTTTACCATTAACCGACATCAGAGAACATGCGAGTGTTATTAACTTATTGAAACAATTTAAATTATAAATTATAATAATTTTCTTAATTTTTTAACAATCTTAAAAACTGTAACCTAAAGTAGTAATTCAAATATATTTACAAACTACAAGTTAAAAAAAATGAATACCTCTCATCAATTATATTTTTGTAAAATATATAATTTAAATAATTCAATTATGTTAATAATATAAAAATTCTATCGAAGTTATTTTTTGTTAACTAAAACTAAAACTATTAAAACATTTTTGTTAATTGAAAACGAGATAAAAACTAAATTAAAATCAGAAATGTTGCTTTGGCAACTAACTGAAACAAGGTTAGGTTGATGCACTAAAAACTGGAAATAAAAACTAAAACTGAACTAAAACTAGAATTTAAAAAAAAAAAAAATTCAACCTAAACTTAGTATTATTAAAAACCAAAAAGTACTAAAAATGACCAAAGCACACAAAGACTTCAAAGAAAGAAATTAAACTAAAATTAAAATAAAAACCGAAAGTATAAAAATAAATGTTAATTCAAAACATTAATAACTGTAATATTATAGAAATAATACAACAATAACACTGACATTTATAAATTAATATTAATAATAGAGTAATATGTTAAGTCTTAAGTCGCTGGGGTATATTTGTAGCAATAGCCAACAATACATTTTATGGGTCAAAATTATTCTTTTATGCTTTATGCCAAAAATCATTAGGATATTAAGTAAAGATCATGTTACATGAAGATAGTTTGTAAATGTCCTACTGTAAATATATCAAAACTTAATTTTTGATTAGTAATATGCATTGCTAAGAACTTCATTTGAACAACTTTAAAGATGATTTTCTCAATATTTAGATTTTTTTTGCGTCCTAAGATTCCAGATTTTCATATAGTTGTATCTCAGCCAAATATTGTCCTATCAGAACAAACCATACATCAATGGAAAGCTTATTTATTCAGCTTTCAGATGATGCACAAATCTAAATTTCACAAAATTGACCCTTATGACTGGTTTTGTGGTCCAGGGTCACATATTTAATATGAATATAACATTTCTACCAGAGTTCTTACAGTAAATGTTACTATCCATGGTACATTTCTATAACAGTTCTTTCTATAAACCTTCTTCTATAATTGATTATTAATTGTTTAAGTGATTCAGGTGTGACTGATGGATGTACTGGAGGGGAATCAGACCTTGGTGATCTTGCTGAGGCGCGTGGGGTCGATGGGTCTGTTCTTGGTGGAAATGGGCACCGTGTTCCAGCCGTCATCAGGGGCCTGGTTGCCACGGGAACCGGGTGTGTGGGGGCCTCCACGGGGCCCCATCCCTCCTCCTCCTCCTCCTCCTCCAGCTCCTGCACTGCGGCTGTCCTTCTTGGACAGGAGTTGCTGCTGAACTTTGACCTGCTCTCGGTGCTCCTCCAGCTCTGCTTCCTTGTGGATCTGCTCGATGGTCTTCGGCCCCAGATCTCCTCGCCGCGGGACCCAGTTATTCTGAGGGACGCCGCGAGAACAAGAGCTCATTACTAGAGATGCACCGATCGATCACACACAGAAAGTTATGCATACCGCGGTAGTAAAATAAGACATTTATAATATAGGAGTTAGGTATGCAACATGCACAACCAAAATATTTCAACACGATTGCAATGTGCTTACCCGTTCATAAAGACAGTGTTTTTGAACGAATCAAACGAGTCAATGATTCAGTAACCCGTTCATAAAGACAGTGTTTTTGAACGAATCAAATGAGTCAATGATTCAGTAACCCATTCATAAAGACAGTGTTTTTGAACGAATCAAATGAGTCAATGATTCAGTAACCCGTTCATAAAGACAGTGTTTTTGAACGAATCAAATGAGTCAATGATTCAGTAACCCGTTCATAAAGACAGTGTTTCTGAATGAATCGGCCATTTGAACGAATCTGTTGAATGAAGGACTAAATGACTCACTCATTCAAACGGTAATTTGACGCCACCTACTGGTTTGGTTTCATATTTAAAACTATCGTTGCTTTTCCCCCAACATTTCTTATTTGTGTGTTTAAAAAATATTTAAAACATTAATCTTATAAAATTCTTTATGCATTAAATTTTTGCAGTGTAAATGCATTTATGGCACCTCTGCTTCATCAAACAGTCTGTAAATACATCTAATACTTCAGATGCAGCTTCTGTGTTTGCTGCAGTGGAAAGATGCTGATACTGATTTAATTTGAATGGTAACAGCTCAACAGTTTCTTATTATTCCTAATTAAAAACAACGTAAGAATTTGATGCGAAAGATGACATTTAATAAGGTTAGTGAAAAAATTATAATTTAAGAAACGCAGTGGGAAATGTCATCGGTTTTGTTATACACAGCAACTCCTTTTTAGTTAATTGCTATTTCTACCTCTTTTCTAGTCACAGAGCACTTTGTTTTGAGAGTTGTTTAAGTGAGAGAACATCTGCAACTTTGTCCAGATTGGGGAATCGTAATGTTTAATAATTTTTTACTACGTAAATAATTTTTTTTGCATTGAAAAAAGTATAGATTTTTGTTTGAATATGCTGTCAATTATAGTTTTTAGAAAGAAAATCTGAAAAAACTGGTATCGGCAGGTCACACTTACAAAAAAAAATCGGAAATCGGCCAAGAAAATTGCAATCGGTGCATCTCTAAACATTACACTGAAAATAAGCTGGAATTTTCCCTTATTTTCCCACTGAGTCACTCTATTATTCCCTCCCTCTCTTATGCGCTTCAGTTTTGCTTCAGCAGAAATGAAACTAATCGTGTGTGAGTGACACACACATGAAGTGAGTTTCCTAAGAACACACTAGAGAGACATTACTGCCACACTGCTGCAATCTATACGGGAAATATCTATACAGAAAACTATTCACTAACATTCAAGTTTCTAGTTTTATCCTGCACCAAAAAAAAAAGTTCTGCTTTTATAATTTTTCATCAAAATGTAACCCCACTCTTACACATTACAGAAATCAAAACACTGCGTTAAACCCGTTTCACTTTTAAAATGTGATTTACACTAACATCAAATGTTTGAAATAATTACTATTTTTTGATGTTTTTGATAAAAGTCTCTTCTGCTCACCAAGGCTGCATTTATTTGATAAAAAATACAGCAAAAATACTGAAATATTACAATTTAAAATAAACAAATAGATTTTCCAAAAGGCTTATACTTCGTTGAATAAAATGAGCGCTTCACGTTTCAAAATTAAAATGCAGCGTGGGTGTTTTTATATGAATGTATATTTGAAAAGAACCGACTGTCTTCAGAAAAGCTTCGATGTCATTTTCATTTCGTCTTTCCTGTAATGCCTGATAGAGTTTGTGAGCAGCGCTTATTTGATTACAGCCTTTACCGGGGAAACAACTATATC